GGCCTGACATGGAACCTTAGAATTTTAGGCAAGTACCAAGGCCTAAGCCATATGTGGGCAAAAGGATACCAGGGAAGAGAAAAAAGTTTGGAATGGATGGTAACAAATGGAGTCTAAGACTCCAGTCTGTAGAAATTCAGAACCATCTACTCCAAGTGGGGACAGGGATGGAGAGGCCCTAGCTCAGCCAGGTGCCCAGTGGTTACTGTACACAGTAACAAAAGTGCAGGAAAAAATGACAACATGTCATGTTGTATGTGGTTACACCTGCCTATACTCACATTGATCCAGAAGCTGAGACAGAAATCATGAATTCATGACAAAGCAGGCAATTTAGTGAGATCCTGTGTCAAAACAAAAAGTAAAATAATAGAGAATCATAAAAGCTTCTCCATCCCTGTCCCCACTTGGAGTAGATGGTCCTCAATTTCTACAGACTGGAATATACTTCGTTGTAGAGGTCTTTCACAGTAGCCTCATGTACTTGGTTGCATTTGGTGGACAACATAAAAAAGAAAACAGATAATTCATTTGAAATTTTATTTTCTTCGATTCTTTTTTCCCATCTTCCTTCCTATTTTTTAATGCTTTTGCCATTCTCCATCATTGGCATCTTCCTGAAAGAGTTAAAGTTATCATGCCATAGTGGTACATACATCCCTAAGTTAACAGCCACAGAATTCGTACTAGGTAAATCTTGGAAAGAGCACATATGCAAAGAGATGAACAGACAAAGAAAATGTGGTATTTATGTTCAAAGCATAGCTACTCTACCATAAAAAAGGATAAACTTGAGACATGTTTAGGTAATTGGATGCATCTCTAGGTCATAATCATAACTGAAATAAATTGGATACACAAGTTTAAATGTTATGTTGTTTCTCTTAGGTGAGAAACAGGGTAAACAAAGAGTAAAATGAAAGATAGATATTGGGAAGTGGGGAGAATATGTTCAAATGGAAAAGTGAACAAGGGAGAGAGATGAAATGAAGGGAGAAGGGATTTAAAACCAAAGGATGAAGGAAAAATGGTAATAAAGTATATATGCGAGGGGAAGAGGGTTAGATAGAAAAGGAGGAAAAAATAAGTTATATTAT